CGGACACCGTAGAGCAAGCAATTACCTGCGCATACAGGTAAACCTTCGACTTCCGTGAGCAAACTATACCTACTGTTGGGGTAAACAACTTTATGCCGTGGCCTCGGGATCGACGCGGCTTGTTCTGGGTCCGAATGGCGGGAATCCCCTTGGAGATTCCTCGGAATAGTAGAGGTCGTCGACCCGTTGGTCAATTTGGCCGGGGAGAGGGGTCGTCGTTTCCTCCGGGAAAGGGCTCCCCGCATGTACGTCCGGCGAGACACGCTTCGTCTTCGTTCCTGCACACAGGTCGGGTCGGAAGCTCGGCCCGACCCCTCCGACGATCAAGTTAGTGATGTGGAGGAGAGTGCTCTCTCATTTTTTCCTTTTCTCCCGTATCTTAGAACGCGAGGGTATTTATAAGGGGTTTAAGTGTTACCGAATGCACCTGCCCACTGGGAGCAGGGTCGTATCCCTTGATAATGTCTGACATTGCTGTTGGCGTGTCGTGAGGAGGCGAGTCTGAGCGGTCGTTGATGGGCCTCGGTTAGCGTTCCAACCAATGTTGGTCAGCCGTTGTCAGCCCGTCAGAGGCGCGGGGCGTCAGCTGATGTCACGGGGGTCTTGTCATAATTATTGCCCTTATCACCTATGATAACGTGGTTATAGCCACAGTCGATGGATTGTTCATGGATAGCCTCTGCAGGACACCGCATTCATGTCGGGAAATTGCACGCCAAAGACGACGAGCTCGAAGAGCTCGGTGGAGGCAGCAAAACGCGTTCTGTCACAGCGACACATGGAGTTGCAGCTCTTCAGAGGGCGAGGAAAGATCTCGGAGTGGACCAACGGCGACGAGCTCGATCGATTCACGGAGGAGCTCGTAAAGGAGGAGGAGGGGAGGAAGAAGGGCCCGATCCCGACGGTGGTGCTAAAGCAAGTGATGACGCCGCGAACGTCGTCGACGACGACCGCGACTACGGTCACCGTTACCACAACTATTTCTACGAGCACGACATCGACATGATGGAGACGGTGGAGTCAAGATAGCTGCTTGTGCATAGACTGTTGTGGGTTCTAAAATGTGTGTTTTCCTTAGTGGAGGGTATGACATGGGAAATCAATTCAAGCTTGGAAATTGTTCGCTAAATTATTAACGCGGTAGAAATGTGAATTTGTATCTCTCATATTAATTGTGTTTGGAATTCAAGATGGACACTATTTTACCTTCGAACTTATGATTCCCAATTATATGTGATCATCTAAATGATTTTTGGAACATAATGGCTTTCTTTGGAAAAAATCAACATATGATAGCATTAAGAAGCAATCTAAAACCCAAGTATAATCGAGCGTTGGAGTCAAAATAGCACTCGTTTGACCAATGTGATGTAGTTGCATTATTGAAGGGTTTAACCTCTGAACTACAATGAGGCTGACTTCTCACTCGAGTTGGTGATGAACACATCACTGAGAGTGAAGTGACAAGACTGGTGCAACTCTAGGTTTGGCAAGACGAGCCACGGCCCACTGCATGAGCGCCAAGGAAACTTCCTCCGAGTTGCCTTTTAACTTTCGTCAACCTGTGGTCGTCTCAGATCCCACAGCGAATAAACCACAGGTGCAAATCCAACATGTAGAGGGGCATGAAACAAACAGTCCCAAGGAGAATCTACATCTCTGATGATACTCTAATGAACCTCCCACTGGATACGGAGCAACAGCTCATCCTGTGTTGGCTCAACATGGCATAAGAAGAGCTCGGTGTCCGTGTTTAGTTTGTCACCCACTTGGAAGAAACAGTCTCCATGATTTACGGTTATGAAGATTACAAGGTGGCTGAAGCTTTTGGATTCCTTTGGTGTACGAATAGATCACAAGGGGCATGAACTCTTTCTGGTTTGAATTTTGTCCAGCTAATGTGGTCCCAAGCTAAGAGGATTTTAATCTGTAAGGGGGAAAATTGAAGTCATGTAAATTTTATTCTCTGGATATGGCTCAATTATATCTGCTTCTGTTGTTAGTCAGACAGGAACCTTTGGCCCTTTTCTTGTCTGATCAATTCCAGAGAGTTTCTTTGATGTGATGAAATATATTCCGATCTTTTAAGTCCATATATATGTACCTGTGATATGTTTTCTCTGGCTGCATTACAACCTACACAATCTTCTCTGGAACAAACATTTTTTCTCTAGAGGAATTGTTATTCCCTCCAACCTGGCCTTATTACATATTGTTGATTGCAACTATTAAGACATCACTGCATTCCATCAGAATATATATATATATATATATATATATATATATATATATATATATATGTATATATGTATATATGTATATATGTATATATGTATATATGTATATATGTATATATGTATATATGTATATATGTATATATATATATACATATATATACATATATATATAAAGATTCACTAGAAAAGGATGGCAACAGAAGGCCTTTGGGTTGGATCGTACGACGACGCACAACCACACCCGCACACTGGAGCTGCTCATTGAACTGGTCAAAGTACTCTGTGAAGCCAGCTTCAGAGGGCACACGCCGGGTGGCCTCAAGGGCGCTAAGACTCTCCATTCGGCATTGGCTCACAAAGCCGAGGGGGCGTGCGCACGGTTCCCCTATTCCTTGCTGGCCCAAGCCAAGCTGGGCTCGAGAGCTGTGGCAGAGGAGGAGCAAGCAAAGAGAGAAAGAGAGGACAATGGAGGTGGCCATGGCTTAGTGTTCTCCAGAAGGAACGGTGAGAGAGTCGTGAAGGGGAGTGCAGAAGTGGGAGGGCATTTA